CTGCTAAAACACTTTCCCTCATTCGTCGAATCAACCCTCGCTCCCTCTCGTAATATGCTTCCTCGTCCTCTGTAACGAGGACGGGTACCGGGCGGCACTTATTGTCTACCGTCTTGTACCGCCTTTGGGAACCCTGCTTGAGCCGTCCCCTAAAAAAGGCCGACTCACAGATTGTGTTTGCGCTGATGCGGGGTTCCCTCCACTGCCTGGGAGCCGATATACCAATTCCAACCTTCCTGCCTCAGGGCATTCCAGAACTTGTTCACTCAAGGCCTGGATGGCATCCGGATCTGCCATCTCGTGCGCGGCCACCAGGTCCATGGCCTTCCCAATATCTGACAGGCTGAGGGAAAATGCTTTCACCCCCTCTCCTGCTTCGGGCTCTGCCCAGAGCCTCCTGCGCTCCCCTCCTGACTCCTCGATTGTGAATGATCCTGGATTGGGCCGGTTCCTTATACTCCTTGGCCCGGTGTTCCTGCAAGTAATTATTTCATAATTTCCGTAGGCAGGATCGCATAAGAGGAGGATCAACGTCCCGCCATGTTTGTTGAACATCACGGTCTCTGTCCTGCTTAGGAATGACCTCCCCAGGACGATTCCATGGTCCACGTCTGGCATTATGAAGAAGCATGCCCTGACCTTCACCTTTCCAACCTCGACGAGCACATTCGAGGCTGTCCCGCAAAACATGGCCTTACAGCTGGCTCCATGYAGAATACCACAGTCAGAACGGTCTATATCCAGCCCGAATCTGATCGCGTCCGCCTCCCGAATAATGTTCATCTCTGCCCCGGTGTCCACCATTGCTACGCACTTGGAACCCTTCACCATCAAATTCACCGTACCACAGGCTACCCACTTCCAATCCATCTTCGTATCTGACTCTGCCCACTCTGCCTCCTTGGGCACGATCTTACCCAGGTGGACATTGGGCACCAGGCGCCGTGATAACCTCCCCTTCAGTTCATCGCGGAGTCGCGAGGATGACGCTAGGATTTCCTTCAGGGTCATGAGGTCATTATGCCCTTCCAGCAGCCGGTCAATCACCTTCTCTACGTCAAATCCTTCTTCCAACCGGACCGCGTATTTCTTCTTTTTGGGCGGTCCGTCCTGTATGACCGGTTCGGCCTCTCCCCTGATCCCCTTTTTCCTTGCCCGCTGCCCCGCTCTCTGATCCTCTTCTCTGCGCAGCCTCTTGTCCTCTTCCTCTTCGTCATCGTCGTCCTCTACTTCCACAGCCTTTTTCCTTCTCCCTGGTTCGTGTTCCTCCCTTGGAGGCTCTTGGCTGGTACTGGCCTTGGCTTGATTCCTCGTTCACGCTGCCTGTGCCTGCCGGGCTTGCGGAGTGAGGGGTCTCCCCCTCATTCCTGGTTGAGGGCACGACCCCACCACATTTACTCCGGGTCGCCCAGGCGCTAACTCTAGGCCGGAGTCATAGAGGAATACTGTGGGGATGTTAGACCTCCATCCTTTCACTTCTTTACAGAGGCCCACCAACTTCTGTTGGTACCTCCCCATCTTATCTAGCAAGTCTTTCATCTTCTCAAATAAGACGGACGGAGGCTCCGTTCTTTCCTCCTCCTCCTCGTCATCTGACTCGATGATTATGGCCTCTTCCGTCTCACTTCCTCCTCTTAGTCCTTGAGTCACTTCCTCATCACTTCCCACTTCTTCCACCCCAAACGGTGGTTCCTCCTTTTCCTGCCATAGCCTGAACATGGCAGGGGGCGGTGGTCCCGCTGCCGCTCTTCGTTGGGCTTCAGCCCTCACTCCTCCAAGCCTTCTGTCAATGGCCTCCCCAAATTGATCGTAGATATCCCCATCCATAGTAGAGGAAATAAGCCCGCTTCTCTCGTCTTCCCGTCTTATATTACAGAACCTTATAGTGTGGCCTTGCTGGTCACAATGTTGACAGATGGCCGTTCTCCAGTCAAAGCGGGGTCTTCCATACCCTTGACTTCCCTGATCCCCCTGACCTTGATACCCCTTGCCTTGATAGCCCTGGCCTTGGTACCCCTGGCCCTGACTCCCTTGGCCTTGGTACCCCTGGCCTTGACTCTCTTGGCTTTGGTACCCCTGGCCTTGACTCCCTTGGCCTTGGTACCCCTGGCCTTGGCCACTCCATTGCCTTCCTCTTCCGCCGCCATTCCTGCCTCGCCCCTTTCCTCCACCCCTCCCCCCACTGCCTTGATTGCCCTGCCCCTGGTTCCCACTTCCTACAACACTGCCCTGTGAACTGGGATCAGGTGACGGTGGCGGGGCCACAGGTTGGGCCTGGGCCGCGGAGTAGATGGGTGGTGGCATACTTGTTTGCGGTCCGGCTACTGGCGGCGTACTTCCCCATTGCACAATTGCGTTGATCACCGGCCAGGGTCACTATCCATAGGAGGGCGCCCCACCTTGCGAGGGGCCCGTACTATATGATGGAGCCGCCACATTTAAAGGGGCTGCTGCCTGGGTTTGAGGCGCCTGCGCTTTTCCTGATCCCTGTCCGCCCTGCGCCAAATTACGCACTTTGCGCTGGACCTTCGTTAGGTATTGCGGCATCGGCTCTTCCTCTTCCCAGAACTCCTCCTAGCCAGCCTCCTCTATCACTGACTCTTTTCCTTTTACTTTGACAGCCGTCACCACCCTTCTTTTCACCACTGGCTCTGTCGCATACCCTAGCTGTGCCAATACGTCTGTAACAATCCTTGTTACTCCCGGGGTCCCAGAAGCGGTCGCATCTCTTTCCTTTCTCTTCTGTCTTTGCAGGCGTACCTGACGTTGTTCCACCTATTCCAAGCACCCAACTTCCACCCCTCTTTCAATGGTGGCCCAGGTGAGCTTAGTGCTACCTCCTCCATGTCTCGTCAATTCGACAGCCTCCGATGCTGTGAGTAGGCCCAGGAAGATGGCGCACTGTGCTTCCTCCGAAATCCCATGGACCTTCCGCGCCCTCTTCTTAAATTCTTGAACAAAGGCCCTATAGTCGTAAAATCCTATTTGTTTATTGCTTCAAGGTCCGTGGTAGTCAACAACCCGTCTCCCAGGCGGTATTTCCTCTGCATCCCCTCCTTGAATCTCTCCCAGCTACCTTGACCCGCATGTATGACTTTCTTCACCTCCTAATGGTAGCTGTGGAGGACATACTGAAGGATGCGTTGAAACTTTACAACATCCGGCCGCCCGACCAAAGCTTGTTCTACCCGCTCTAGCCATTCTGAGACTCTCTCCCCACAGAAATGGAAAGTATCGACCTTTGGGATGTTGCTCGGGTTCCTTTCATGTCGGTCGATGGCCGCGATGAGGTCATCGAGTGTTAGGCCCTTCTTGGGAACAACTGATGCGCCGCCAGTCTCAAGCATCTTGACATCCTTTTCTTTTTAAGTTCCCTGGCAAAAGAAAACAAGTACATCCCCTTATTCAACATTGTACCCTGACCGGTCTATTCCATTCGTCCTACCTAACCCTTAGTACTTACTTTACCCACTGTTAACACGATCGTCCCTCATACTTCCTCTACTTGGGTAGGTAAATTTTCTCACCTACACTTAGTCATTCATATATTCCTTCATTACCTTCTCATCACTCCTTTATGCCTTTTTTTATTCACTTCTCATACCCGGATGTCGTTCCGCCAGAGACAACGGTAGGCTTTCCGTTATCCCCGGCAACGGCGCCACCTGTCGGGCAGATCAGTCCGGCACCGCACGGAGGCAACGCGGGACCCTCCCGGCCGCGTCACGCAGGAGTTGGTTTTTAGAACATTTCGTCGCAATATACATGGAGCTTCCACAAACCGCTCAGGCTGGGTGCGCCAGCCATACCTCTCGCGAGCCCCTACGACAGGATAGGGCCTACGCGAGGCACGACTTACCTACATCGTACGGGAGCTGTCACCTCCCTTCGGTGGGCGTATCCCCGCCGAGCTACCAGTCCACAGTACGAAAGTTAATCAGTTGCAATCGCAGAGGTGGACCAGCCGAGGGCGTTTCTCGTTCGCTGTAGCATAGGGGGTACGCGCGGTAATGCGCCTTTATCGGACCCGCACGCGAACCGACATCTTGGGGGGGTTGAGGTCCCAAGCGCGACTCATCGTCGGTCGACTAGGACGCATCCCACACACCACGCGCACTCCACTTTACGAACACTCATACACACAAAACAACATATATACGAAACGACACAATACCAACAACGCGACAACGCTCCTAGCCCCTTGGTAGTCAACCCATAACTTTCCAATGTGGAAATCGGATAAGCGTCGCGCGCTGAACTTAGTATAAAACCGCGCGGACGCAGGGCATATTCATATCGACTTGCAATGCAGGCGTACATAATCAGTCGCAATGATGGCGTACTATGTAGTGCCCATAATCAAGCGGTCCCTCGTGGATCCGAGTACCGCTTATGACACTCAAGTGTCAGACTTGAAGTGTCGTGAGGGCCTAGCCCTTCACGACATTGCACGACTGAAGAAATAGTCGTGCAGCCGCCGAGGCACCTCAGGCTCTCGACCTGAGTGTCACGGTAGGCAAATCAAATAGGCTCTTCGCAAGGGAAAACCCCTCCCCTGCAGAGCCTAGGGCTTAGGATGTCCTGTACAAGGACCTCGAATCCCGGCCCAGGACCAAACGTGCGACTAAGAAAATCATCAAAAAGCAAGAGACAAGAATAAAAGGAGAGACCTCCCCTAAGTCCCTCAGTCTCAGCTTCTGAGTGGGCTCCAATGTGGGGGCTCTTCAACCCATGCAAACATTCATCCCAGGTATACCCATGTATACATATATAAGGGTTAAGTATGTGACGATCACTTTTCACGGTCTCACTGGGGTTTCTCACAATAATACGTATATGTGTGATCGTAGGCAACCAAAATCCAGAATCTACTTCACAGCACATACCTGCTATCACATCAACGAGCCAAATCAACAGCCCACACACTACACAGAGTCAACCCCAACCACCTTTGACATTCATACCCCTTGCTTCAACCATTGCAAGCCCTAAAACCTCCTGTCCAACCAACCTTAATTAAATACTCAACACCTTTGTCAAATGGCCATTCAATAAAAGTCCGGGTGAAACCTTAATAAAACAACGAAATCACCGGGGCTAAAGCCTTTTAGGTTGAGTGTAGAGGGAGAGTTGAAATCGAGTCGTAGACCGACGAATCGGCAACCGAATTGTTATCAGTGATAACAGTAAGTGATCCTCAAGAGATCAAGCTGGATCTAGCCTCGAACTTGGATCAAATGATCAAAAGGACATGTAACACACGGCAGACCGATCCCCAAGCTAAGATCATAAGTGTATGGAGAGTACAACTCCATAGTACATCCTCACTCAAAAACTTCCTTATTAGCTAAATCCAAGTCTACTTTTAAGTCAGTGCTTAAGCTGAAGGTAGACCAACTACAAAGTCTCCCCTATTCTCGGTGGATCGCCTGAATCACCTATCAAAATATAATTTATCTCCTCTAAACAAAGAAAATTTTGGCAGCGCTTCTCGTAGGAAAAGTGTCTTTTCATAATTTATATAAGCCGAGATATGAGAGCAGAAATAATCTTTAACTCTGAAAAGTCAAATTTTGTCTACCTCTCTAAATTAGTAGAAATTTGGGCAGCACTCCCTTTAGAAAGGGAGGCTTCTCAGATTTATACTAAGTCAGATATGAAAGCAGAATTAATCTCTAATTATGGAAAGTCAAATTCTGTCTAACTTTCTAAA